TATCAGGCATCAATGACAGCATGATTTCTGGAACAACAATCAACACATCGGACGATGAAGCTCGCAAGGTGTCGACCCAGCTCATGAACATGACAAAAGTACCGGGCATCATATCTTGACAAATGTGTTGGACAATCAGGTTTTCACCTGAGACTAGGCTGCACACATGAGGAGCCTGCGTTACGTTTGAGGACTTGAGTTGAACGCATGTGTTTGTCAGCTTGGGTGCCAGCAGCAGATGAACCATTTACACTCGTTCTCCTCTACGGTACCACTGTCTGAAGGCGTGCGAGTTTCCTATCCGAGATGCCGCACGTTTTTCTAATAATGGAATGGAAAAGTTTCTTGACGGGGCAGAGAGGCACAATGAACTCAGGTTTGCACCCAGAGTTTGACATGGAGTTTATTATGGCCACGACTAGTAGGTACCAGGTGATCCATCCTCGTAGTAGAACACCGAGTAGCGTGATATCACATCTTATCCCCGCTGAGCCTGGTTTCCAGACACGGGAGGATGCACAGCTGTAGAAGCTTCGTCGGTATCAATCGACAGATAGCGGACCAACGGCAAGAAACACATTTCCAACTCCTCCTTTGAGAAAATGATCAAGTATAAGCCCGGTCAAGTCACAAGGTAGATGGCTCGGATGCTCAATGCAGTCACCTCGGGACTCCCGTTAACGCCTTTTCGATTCCGATTCCCGCTCATGGTTGCAAAAGGACATCATGGACACCAAGACCGATAGAAGGATTGAAGAGGAATAGAGGGGTATTTGCACTGCCGTCACAAGAAAGGAGGAAAGCGGTTTTTAATTCATGGTTGTACAACCTGGATGTTGTTCTTTTTCTATTGAGACAAAAGAAGTCAATCCTCAATACCATTAACATGATTTCCTGGCATTGTCAAACTAACCTTCCAATTGTCCAACTCAGACTGTTTGCTCTGATATTGCTTCACAAGTTCGTCAAGCACCTGTTTCAAACCATCTGAGTTTGTCTTGAGTGCAGGAAGCACATCCTGGACTGTTCGCTCGACCAAAACTCCGTTTACCATTCGGAAGCACTTGCGGTCATGAGGGAGGGGTTCGAGTGTCTCAATGACAAGCCTAGTAAAGGTCACTACTGCTAGCAGTTTAGATATAGGAAGGCAAAAGTACTTATGCTCCTCTGCTTCCTGCTCGATGTCGCCAATCTTTTGCGCCATCTGTGTGAGTGTGTTCTTGAAGTTCGTATATTGAAGCTGAAGCTCTGCTTCATATTAGCCTTCCTCACCACGTAGAAATGAGATGAGAACTAATCAGCATACCCTGCTGCTTCTTGGGGTTTATTTGCGCTTGACTGGCCATTTTCTGATATCCGATGCTGTGACTCTGTTGTTGTAAAGCTCAAGATGCGATGCCGGGCGTGGTTGCTCGAATTCCGCTGTGCGGAGAAGCAGACTAACTTCATTCTTTTTTCTCAAGCTACGTCTACGAGCATCTACAAGGGACAGCCGGGCTGCGGTCTGGACAGAACCCCGGTCCAGTCTCATCACGTTATCTAATATTTTAGTCTTAATCTCTATGTGCGCTTGCGAAAAGGTTATTTTTCATTGTATCTTTATGTCATGACCTTCTCTGGCCCCTCCATAGATCGAAGCACGTGACATGGATGACAATTTGTTTGCACCGTTTGCCCCGTCGCCGATAATCCACTCCGCAGTTTATCAGTATCAGAACTTCTACACTTTGCCTAGCACCTAGCTCGAAGCAAGCACCGGGTGGCCATTCCTATGCCACTCTGTGTTATTTCAAAATCAATTTGGGCCGGCTTGAAGGCTTTGTTTGAGTTCTTCTAGGTGTTATTCCACCATGGCGTCCGACGGAATGCCTCCAGCCAAAAGGCTGAAGAGCTCCAACCTTCCGCCACACCTGCGCGATGCGAAGCGCAAGGACATCGACAACTGGGAAACAAACCGGATGCTCACGTCTGGAGTCGCGCAACGGCGCGATTTCGAAGGCGACTTTCTACCAGAAGATGAAGAAGGTACTCGAGTCCATTTACTCGTCCACGATCTGCGACCGCCGTTCCTGGACGGGCGTACGATTTTTACCAAGCAACTGGAGCCTATCTCAGCCGTCCGCGATCCGCAGAGTGATATGGCCGTGTTCAGCCGTAAAGGGAGCAAGGTCGTTCGAGAGCGGCGTCAGCAAAGGGAGCGTCAAAAACACGCGCAGGAGGCAACAACAATGGCAGGCACCGCGCTGGGAAATATCATGGGTGTCAAGGAAGATGAAGGCGACAGCGCTGTTGCCATGCCCGTCGAGGATACTTACAGAAGTGGAAACAAGTTCGCCCAGCACCTGAAAAAGGACGAAGGCGGACAAAGCTCTTTCAGCAAGAGCAAGACGCTTCGCGAACAGAGGGAATACCTGCCTGCATTCGCCGTGCGAGAGGAATTATTACGAGTCATACGAGATAATCAAGTGATCGTGGTGGTTGGTGAGACAGGATCCGGAAAAACAACCCAACTGACACAATTTCTTCACGAGGACGGATACTCAAAATACGGCATAATTGGCTGCACGCAACCTCGGCGAGTGGCTGCTATGAGCGTTGCGAAACGTGTGAGTGAAGAGATGGAGGTGGATCTTGGCGCCGAAGTCGGTTATGCTATTCGATTTGAGGATTGCACCAGCAAAGATACAGTCATCAAATATATGACTGACGGTGTCCTTCTGCGAGAATCGTTGGTTCAGCCGGACCTGGACAAGTATTCTTGCATCATCATGGATGAAGCGCACGAAAGAGCTTTGAATACCGATGTCCTGATGGGCCTCTTGAAGAAGGTGTTGGCGCGTCGACGAGATCTGAAGCTAATTGTCACCTCAGCCACCATGAATTCAGAACGCTTTTCTCGGTTCTTTGGTGGTGCCCCCGAGTTTATCATTCCTGGACGAACTTTCCCGGTGGATCTTCACTTCTCCCGTACCCCGTGCGAGGACTACGTCGACAGTGCGGTGAAGCAAGTCCTGGCAATTCATGTCTCGCAGGGACCCGGGGACATACTTGTCTTCATGACAGGTCAGGAAGATATTGAAGTAACGTGCGAGTTGATCGACGAGCGACTGAAGATGCTTAATGATCCGCCGAAGCTTAGCATATTACCGATATACAGTCAGATGCCAGCAGAGCAGCAGGCGAAGATTTTTGAACGAGCCCCTCCTGGCGTCCGGAAAGTCATCGTTGCCACGAATATTGCCGAAACGAGCTTAACGGTTGATGGGATCATGTTTGTGGTGGATTCAGGGTATTCAAAATTGAAAGTATACAATCCACGCATGGGTATGGATACGCTCCAGATCACACCTATTTCTCAAGCCAATGCGAATCAACGTTCCGGCCGAGCAGGTCGAACGGGGCCTGGAAAGGCGTACCGTTTGTTTACCGAGTCGGCCTACAAGAATGAACTATATATTCAAGCGATACCGGAAATTCAGCGGACAAGTCTTTCAAACACTGTTTTGCTTCTCAAATCACTTGGAGTGAAGGATCTCTTGGATTTTGATTTCATGGACCCACCGCCGCAGGAGACCATTTCGACATCTCTTTTTGAACTCTGGTCGTTGGGCGCGTTGGATAATCTGGGCGACCTAACCCCGCTAGGTCGCGCTATGACTCCGTTCCCCATGGATCCTCCGCTCGCTAAGCTGCTCATCACGGCGTCCGAGGAATACGGTTGCAGCGAGGAGATGCTTACGATCGTTTCCATGCTCTCGGTTCCTAGTGTCTTTTATCGTCCAAAGGAGCGACAAGAAGAGTCAGATGCGGCGCGCGAGAAATTCTTCGTTCCGGAGTCTGATCACTTGACTCTTCTTCACGTTTACACGCAATGGAAATCCAATGGTTACTCCGATGGATGGTGTATCAAACACTTTCTTCACCCTAAGGCTCTGCGACGGGCTAAGGAGGTCCGGGAGCAACTTCACGATATTATGACAGTTCAGAAGATGCGACTTGTAAGCTGTGGGACAGACTGGGACGTGATCCGCAAGTGCATCTGCTCCGGCTTCTACCACCAAGCGGCCAAGGTTAAGGGTATCGGCGAGTTCATCAACCTCCGGACAAGCGTGAGCATGCAGCTCCACCCCACGAGCGCTCTGTATGGCCTAGGTTATGTGCCAGAATACGTGGTCTACCACGAATTGATCTTGACAAGCAAGGAGTATATGTCGACTGTAACTGCAGTGGACCCACACGTAAGTTGATCCCTCTTCATCGGAAACAGTGAAACAGCATAGGCTAACCTCGAAAATGTAGTGGCTCGCCGAACTTGGCGGTGTCTTCTACTCCGTCAAAGAGAAGGGCTATTCCCAGCGAGAACGTCGCGTCACCGAACAGGAATTCAATCGACGCATGGAGATCGAGACCCAGATGGCCGCCGACCGGGAGCGCGCCGCGGCTGAGAAGCTACGAGAGCAGGAGCGCAACGATCCCTCCCGACGCAAGACGGAAGTAGAGGCGGGATCTGTTGTGCGACGTCCACCTGTTACCGGCGCACGAAGAATTGGCGGTGTCTCCGCATCTTCGAGCACGAGAAACGGCACCAATGGAGCAAGTGGGGGAGGATCCGTGGTTAAGAAGCCACAGATCAAAAGGAAACCTGGACGAGCATTTTAGGATCATGCTCAAGCAGAGACATATACCCGATGTACAAATTTAGAGGAGTTCATTCAAAGAGCGGGCTCTGAACTCTATCCATAGATAGAATGCGATGCCATTCTGGTGCAGCTATTGGGTATCCAGCCATCAGTAGCACTTTTCTCTCGACCCTGCAGTATAAAATGGCCAAGGCCAAGGCCAATAAAGTACAGTCTCATAATTTATCCCGGTGAAGCACTACAGAGTACCGCGCAGGCCCTGAAGAAGCGAAGACAAATGGCCTCCCGTCTCGCAAGCCAACAAGGACTACCAGTATCCTTCCAAACTCCACCGAATATCTCGCCACCAACAGCCCGCACTCAATTGATGAAATTGATACAGAAAAAGTGCAGAATCAAGCTCCCGAAGATGTAATCCGCAAATGCCCTAACAGCAGCATGAACAGTCAGTCGCCGATCGGGCTCATCTCACTTATTCCTAGCATTCAACATAAAAAAACCAAAAAAAAAAAAAAAAATAACTCACCTCTCATGAGACACCGCACCCTGCTCCTCCCCACCTTCTACCACAGCAAATCGCGCATTCTTCCCCTTCGAACTGGGCTTACTGTTCCCACCCTTCTGCTCGCTACTCGTCTGCATGCGCAAACTAGCCGTAAGCACGAACTGGCCGACCGCGGCGCAGAACCCGCTCAGAAAGGCATTGAAGGGCTATCGACCCATCACTCGTCAGCATCCCAGCTCAATCTGTATAAATCCAAGGGAAACGAGGAACGGGGAACAGGTCTTACGTAGTTTCCAGCCAAAACGCAATACAGGAATTGCACGGCACCGACAAAAAGAAGGAACACCATAAAGGCGTCAAGCATCATGGTGCGCTGAGACGTTGTGGTGAGGTACTGCTGCCATATGTGCTGGGCGATTTGGTATATAGAGGAATTAGAGGATAGGACTGCTGGGCTGGAGGAGAGGGAGGAGGAGCTGGGGGTTTGTGCTCGTTTAGGAGGCATGCCGGTCAATTGAATCAGGGTCGAATTGAGGAACGTTCAGGACAGAAGAGTTGGCAGAATGATGCGGCGTGACTTGGAGTGGAAGTTTCGATGTTGAAGCCTCTGTTGAGAAGTGCGGATGAAGCTACTGTGTACACAACCCGATAGAGGACATACTAAGGCCATACCTGTACTCCACCATCCGTTGATTACGTAGCCTGCTTAGTTCCGTTGCAATGTCACGTGATCAGTTTGATATGATCAGAGGAGGATTATTGCAAGAGTCACTCCGAGGTATGGGCGGTGGCAACGGCGGATGTCTACATTGACATTTGTAAAAGAATATTATCGCAAGCTTGTCATATATGCATACACCTATACTATACACTATGCATTTATAATGTACACACTCAGACCGTTCAACAGTCACATACGTCGTCAGGAATTGGAGTAGCGTAAAGCTCCATATCCCTACGACAGAGGGCGTAGCGTCAATTGCCCCGACACCAAGCACCTAAATATAACAGTAGAGCCCAAGATGTGGACCAACCAAATCATACGTCGTTCATCATGAAGAGTTGAGAGTTCATAGTAAGTCGTTAAGAGGAGAGAGTCCATGGTCGTAAGGGAGATGAGATCTTCAATATAAGGGCGCAGAGAAGAATGCTTTGTCCATCGAGGAAAAGTCGAATGCGTCCTTAAGTAACACTGCATTGGCCTCCAGGGCCGATGAGTAGAGAGTTGGGGTAAGATAGCTATCAAGATTCAACGGTACACGCTGATCAAGCAAGCCAATCTGAAATGTTGCCTAGTGGATAGCTTGTTTGCGCTTCTTGAACATCCATCTGAAAGTCGCGCATCACTTGATCCCACGCTTCCCAGTTGTGTTGAAGAAGAGCAGGGTCTTGGCTTGTTGTGGTAGGATCCATGAGATTTTGCGATATCCCGATCGGTGCGGCTGTACTCAACGGGTCTTCTGCTGTCACGCTTTGAGAATTCGGCAGGGCCGGCCAGCTGACATTGGGGAAGAGCTCGGCCACGATTTCGGTGTTGAGGTTCGGTCCAGCGATAGACTGGTCCGCGGGCTGAGCACTCCCTGGGACCGGAGGGGCTCGAATTTGAGGGACACCATCCGCCAGGTAAGGCTGGACAGCATTCTGCCAGACACCAGTGTGATAAGGTGTGGATAGGTTCGGAGCAGAGTTGGGATCGGGCGTGTTCTGTACGCCCTGCTGCTGCTGCTGCTGCTGCTGCTGCTGCTGCTCTCGGAAGGCAGCCACCCGCTTCATCAACCGGGAAAGCGGCCGCCAAAGCATTCCCTTCCTATGTTTTGTAGTACGGCCCCATGTCTCATACAATGAACTCACCACCTGCCAGGCACGATCAGTGAGTGGGCTGAGTGGGCGAACGCAAAGCTCCGCCAGCACAAAGGCAATCAAGTGCCACTGCATATTTGTCACAAAAAGCCAGCTCCATTTGGAAGTGGTCTGATCTTGACCCAGCAGCCGAGTGAACTCTGCAATCTCGACCGAGGTGACAAACAAATTCTCCCGAGACGCTATGGTCAAATTGCTAGCCGCCGGATTTTGTCGAGTCATAGGATGATGAACTATGAGCCAGAGCTTGGCCAAAATCAGACGAGCAACGGTGGCGCAGACCCATTGTACTGGTACATTCATGTCACAATGCCGGGTATATCGCTCCTCAATCCGTTTGTTGACCTCCTGAATCAACTTCCCACAAGAGTCCGCAGGTCGTTGTGTGTTCTCGGAGTGAGGAAGACCGGTTGGACACATGTAGCTGACCCTCTTGAGAGCGGCAGTAATCTCGCAACGAACTAAGCAAAAGGTCATTTCTGTGAAACCCACGCGCTCTTCGGGTGGCTGCTGCATATCGATCGTGATATCATCGTCGTTGATATTCAGCGGAAGGCGAGTATCATACATCCTGTCATGAATCTGCGCATCAGTACCATGCTCCTCGGCTGACCTGATATCCAGCAAGCAGATATGCCACCACAGACGCCGGCGCATTTCAGTTTCAAAGGGCTTCAAGCCAAAGTTGGTTCCGTCCCGATGGAGGCCGATACCTTGGGCCAGGCGCAGAACCACCGCCGTCATAGTCCAGACAAATTTAGTGTCATCCTCACGCCGTACACCAATCAGAAAGAGTACAGCAGCTTGCAACAGCATCAGGCTCTGCGTATTAAGGAGACCAGCTCTGGACAATGCCTGCTCGACTGCAAACCGGTAGCGCGTTACCGCCGTATCACGATCGTCGCCCAGAACCGAGAAGCATTGTTCAGGCGACATGCTGACTATAGTAACATAGTAGATCGAAAGGACCAAGGCTTCGGAATTCTTGTCCAGGAGGTTCGGATTCTGGGCGGCATCCGTAAGAAGAAGTTTTCGTACGGTGGGCTTATGGAACATAGGTATAAGCGGCGCAATGTTATCCAGGTAGATGTCCCACAACACTGGAATTTTGGACGGGGGGGGATGGTAACTGCGAAGTGAATGGGAAAGAGAGTAGTATCCGAAGAGAAATCCGTCGTGATTAGTGGACAGAGTCGACGAGGATTCAGGCGAAGGATAATCTTCCTCTTCCGACAATGAAGGGTCTAGGATATCTTGCAGTTCCTCAATCTGGCCACGAGCGTCAGCACAAAAGATAGTGAACTGAGGCAAAAGTGCTCACCTCATCCCCCAAACTTGCCCACAGCCGGTTGCTAACATATCGACTACGTCCTTCGTCGATGACCAGCCGTCCAAACTCATGTTCCAGGTTCCGAGGCTTAGCAGCCTGCGGATCGGAGTCTAGAGCGAACGGACATTTCCCGATGTCCGCGCTTTGCGTCTGAGGTGTCGTCTGCCTACTTTCTTGGGGAGCCGCGGGTCCAGGTTCCTGTTGCGAGGGCGAAGATACTGTGGACAATGGCTCCGCAGCTCCGGGCTTCTTCCCGCTGAGATGCTCAATGACTCCCTCAAGCCGTCTCAAACGGGACAAGAGCTCGGCATCCTGAGGTCTCTTCGTCTTGCGAGGCGCCCTCCCAGGTGGAGGAAAGACACATTCAATACCTGCCTTGACACAATTGGAACACGGCGTCCTCTTATTACAGCGGACTTTTCTTCTCCGACAAGTCACACAGCTGCGACTGCTGGGAGGGTCATGCGTGGTGTGGGTACCAGGGTTGGCGGCATGGTCGATTGAAGTGCTTTTAGGATATCCAAAGGGGGTACTTGACGAAGACTGAGATGAAATGGATTCGATGGGCGGGAATGACATGACGGAGGATGGAGAATGGTTGAGATCCGTGCTACATTCCCAGCAGCGCGGAGAATGGAGGCTTATCTAGGTATTGAGAATATAGAGACTGAGTAAAGCAAATCATAGGCAAAAAGTTGATCGCGATTCTGAGCCCTCACTGTCATAATAAATCTTCTCAGGTATTTGGCCCTTTTTTCCTTTTGAGTTGGATCTTCGGTCATCGACTCATAGTGGGGACAGGCGATGGCGTTGGTCATTGGCGGCCAGGCGCAGTCCAGGCTCCCCATCGATGGTTCCTGGGCCTGTCAGTGGCTACCAACCTCGCAACATTATTAATACCGATGTATGTAAGACATCATTTTACAGCCCGTGTACCTCGAAAGGATAATTGGGTGCATTAAACCAAAAGAGAGATACAAGCATATCCCCCTGGACTCAAAAAAGTTTACTATCAATTGATCGCGTAGTAATGTTGATGCCTGAGACAGCGATAAAGCATGCTGATAGACTGACGTCATAGTCAAGCCAACACAAAATCAAACAATCCCGTTCAGAATTGAGGTGGATTCAGTTGATACCTGTACGAAACTCAACCCGGACTGCCATCGGATCAGATAAAAGAAAACAAGGATTAGCACAGTCATCGCTGTAAAGTTTATCAGATGACCTCTCCATGGACATTGGGACACGTTGCGCAAATCCTGCTGCCGCCATAGCAATTTCCGCGCACGTGTTAAAAAAGCTTTCAGGGTATCTGAGCTTCGACGTTACGGACTTTACGATGTTATGAGTCACCGAGACTAGACTAGGTAATCTTCTCGGATAATAGCGAGTGTCCATTTTCTTCCGGCAATGATATTCTCGTCCTCCAAGAATTAGGTTCAGCGGAACGAATTTCAGTTGTGTCAATACCTTCCGGTAACTTCTCGTCGTATTTGATCTTGCTTCTCATGTGAGGTCTGCGATGTGCGACACTGCCACAGTAGTATTCGAAGATCGCGTGCTCTATATTTTATACACCTAGTATATACATCGCATGCCATTCGATGTTATACACACTGAGTAGATTAATATGATATCGACTGCGTCCCATGAAGATGGTGATGGCTCGAGAAAGGAAAATGCTCACGGAAGATTTTCAAGGAGCGTCAGTGCAAGTTGCCCCAAAAAAAATTCAACCAGGGGTATGGTACATATAATGCGAAGCACAGATTTGTGTACCAAAGATCTTTGGAGAGAAATGGAACGCCAGATTATGCAACCGGGAGATGTAAAAAAGGAGGAATCGAGGGGTCGTTATCGTGAACCAAGTGGAAGAAATATACAATGATTACGGGTTAGTAAGTTCATTTTTGAGCTTTCGGTAAGCTCATGTTAAACGATAGGGAAGCGGCGTAGTTCGCTTGGGGATAGTGATGGATCTTCGCTGCCGTGAAAGTCCTCGTTTTTCTCTGGTAATTGAGATATTAGCGAGCTATATCAAGCAGCCGAGTCAGGATTAGTACTAACTTAGTTTGTTCCCAGATCTTGGTCTCCTCGTTGAAATGGTGACTAGGGAAATGGCAAGTTAGTTAAGAACCCAATGGCGAAGCTTCATGTACGCACCCCTGAAAGTCAACAGTAGTCAATGACTTGGAGCCGTATTCTTCCACAAGGAGATCGGTGTACTTGTATGGGACTTTGACAGGAAAGTCTTCAAAGTAAGTATTCCGAAGTGGGAAGATATCAGACTCCTAGAAAGCGGTAAGCAATCCATCCCGTGTTACCCTTGTACCGCAGCCACTTACATCGAATCGGTGGCCATCCTTGCACATGAGAGCGCCTGGATGACCCTCCTTTCTCAACTCGTCATCCTTGCGCACTGCAGTTATATCAATGAAAAGCCCCGAAGAGGTGTCTATCCACCTCGCGTCAATAACGTTCGCTTCGTCCTCAGTGGTTCGAACCACATATTGCGGGTTGATTTCGAGAAGGTAGTTCCGCCCGCCGTCGACACCCGGAAGTTCGAAATGATGCTCGGTCATGTTGTAATATTCGGCGAGGAAGTGTATTGTCGGCTCGGTAACCTGGACGTCGAGGTCGTTGTCCCATGGAAAAATCTGAACGCAAGTCAGCGTTATGTTCCCACGTTGCATGTTTCATAAAACCATGGGACCAGGGTCCCAACCTTCTGATTCCACCACCACGCCAGGAGAGTTCCATGCATTATCCAAGTCTCTGCACCCAGATCCGTCATTGTCGACAGATATGTTTGAATGAGTGCTGCCAAATGTGGTATTGTGTCTTCCTCAGGGAGGGGTCCATCGGCGAATCTGTGGAATCGTCAGACAAGTGTTCGAGTCGGCGGACTGCAGACCAGCTCACCGTCCATCATAGTGATAATGAAAGCTGCCAGGTCAGTCAGCAATTTTCAGAGAATAGAATTGTGCAATTTCAAGACATACTCGGACTCCTCTAATAATGCGTTAGCGTTATGCCGAAGAAAGAGAAATATACGTATCCAGCTGAATAAAAGAAAGCACCATGAGAGACGTCAAGGGGGGACACTTACTGAAATATTTCTCTCCTGGTTCACCTCCTTTCCCACTGTAATCTTTGAGAAACTTGGCTCTAACAGTCATGAAATCGACATGGGAGTCGGCGCTACACAAAGCCACCAGCACAAGAAGTAATCCATGGAGATAGAGAAGGAAAGTTGTTGAGAATAGATGCATAGCGCATGCAGGGATGATAGGGCGGTCTGATTGGATTTAATCACTGAGATGACAGCATACTCCTAACCGATGTATAGGGATAGTGGAAGAAATAATATCAGTCGATGACGGCGTTGCACTGTTGGTAGGGAAAAGGGCGGAAATGTAGGTGTTTGTCAATGACGACTGCGTCGGAGGACTGATATCAGGAGGGAGGTAGGAAGCCGATATGGGTCGCCTGGGTCTCGAGCTGTGTGATTGAAGAGTGCAGACTATTACAGAAAGGACCGCATCGGAAGGGGGAAAAAAAAAGAGTTCTGCAGTGATGATAAGAAGGATGGAATATGCAAAGAATCAAGGATCGACAGTCCCAATGGCGATGGAGATAGGTAGTCTAGTATCTCAACCTACTTGAAAACTCGAAAGATCTTTTGAGAAACTTCACTCAATGACGAGTAATCAAAGCTTCATAAATCACAAGAGACTACCGTATGAGATTTGGGACCTACTGCCTAACCTTACGTCGTCCGTATTGCACCAGTCGCGTGCTAACTTACCGCAGAATTCAAGGCCTGTTTCTATTAATTGATGTAGTGACGATCCCCATAGAATTCCATGGCGATGTTAATCGATAAAATTCTAGGCTAGTCTCGTGCTCCCCTAGTTCCAACTTGCCAAGTGCCAGCCCTGCCGCGCCTTGGCAGGAGGTAACGCTGATCGATCATTCGATGGCGGTTGACCTTTAAAATTGGAGACCTTGTGAGATCAGTGTCATTGTCATGATTTATGAACGAGTATCTGCAAAGGACTGTTGGTAGATTCTTGTTCTACTCTGTACCTGTTTTACCCATCTATGCTTCCACTACATTGTTCTACTGCAGCACAACTCAGTAGTACATTACGCTACTACAGCCACATCCTGCCTTTTACTCCTATTCTTCCACGGACTTATCCTCCGTAACGTTCTGTCACAGGCTTACGTATGTTCCTCAGGGGAGTGCAGCAATTGGACATCATGGTTAGAATTGCGCAATATATAGCCTACTGTTTGTACCATCCATACTGCCAATACACGGCAATTCCTCCCAAAATGCTGCATAGTGGACTAATGTCTGTGTAACTCGCGATCCGACTCGATGTTTTGGTTGGAACGCCGGCAAATTGAATGGGGGCCGCGTCATACATATCTCTTAGTCCCTATCTGGTCCAGGCTTCGACCAAGCACAGAATCTTGCTAGCATTATTGTTGACATAGGTGGGTTGCATTTCGCGTTAATTCAAACTCGATATTGGCCCATTTGTTTTGTCTTACATTCTATGTTCTCAGAATGATTGTGTTATTCTCTTGGGTCTCTTAAGAGGTGAACAAATATTTCATCATGGGACTTGAATATCTTGTACAGAAGAAAAAAATGGTACTTTGTGTGGCCTGTGGAGCCCAAGGCATCAACAAGTCCACAACTAACTCGAAAGGAGAAAAAGAACCAGACAACCAAGATTAAGCCACAAAAGGGCTTTTTGATCATCACAAGAGAACAATTCCACTGTTTAGGGGCTTTTGTGGTTCTCTGTGGCTGATACGCCAGTCACACATTACTAGTAGGATTGAAAAAATCATGCAAAGGACGCGAATCAAGCCTTCAGCCTGACTCGAGCCTAATTCTAGCCTCCAGTAACGTTGTCCGCGACAGCTCCGGGAGGCATCCAACTCCCGAGCATTGACTATTTCAACCTAGCTTCGGTCAGCAACGCTGTGAGTCGCGTTTTTGTCCGTTGCGAGGCTGCGAACGACACCATCATGCTGAGGTCGACTTCGCAGGCAGCAAGGGCACATTGCTGTCAGGCATAGATTCTGACTTGCTTGTCTGGCCGGTCGTGCAGTCCGGCGTAAGTAGTATGCCCTTGCACTCTTGACAGGTTGTGGATTCAGGGATGTAGATCTATGGCTCCTTTGACGACATTGGGCAGATCTTGCAGGACAAGCTTTCCCAGAAGCGTGGAGAAGCTTTCCCTGAATAAGGTCTCTGCCCTGGGCACCATCTACGTCGAGCGGGAGTACATCAGATGGCTGTTGCACCCGCAATTTCTGTTCAATTGTGAAGAACTCAAAACTAACTTTGGCCCCCCCGGCGAACGGAAAGCGTCATAGGTTTTGTTGAATGCTTCTTGGTAGTGTGGTGCGGTTGGCAAACAGTCAAAGTACCATGACTGGGTGTTCACAGAGACTTGAAACAGACCATCATCACGCTCAACAAGGGGTTTCCAGCCTTTCTCCTTCAAATAATCAGGCAATCTGGAAAGAATCATCTGAAAATGCGTGCCATAGACTATTTTGAGATTTAATCCATGTGACTGCGCTTACATGTGTATAACTCCAGTCGACAAAGAAGAATCTGACACACAGGCTGTTGCCAGAGGTGTAGGGCGGAACAATCAGCGTCCACCTCCTTGAGCACACCCATGGCAGCTAGAAGTCTAATGACACGTGCTGCCAAGTATCAATATTTTCTCACCAGAGGGCCAACAAATACTGCTGAAGATCACATACGGGGCTAAAGCAGTATCAGCTCCTGTATTGTCTGAGAGTTGATCCACGTTGGAGTGGCTGTCATCACCTTCAGATGACCGTTTAGCGATAGCGTCGAACAGCTTTCATGTCAACACACAAGCGAAAGGCCGTTTTGCTTGATGGCTCTGGCCTTCATCAGCTTCCCCCCGAGATACAGGATAGCTGAGAATTCACAGAAAATGGGACCCTGAAGGAGGTCTCTAATGGTATTTCATATATAATCCCCAGTTCATCACAAGCCTGCAGCAACACTTTGCGTTTCATGCTCGTATTCGGAGCCTGCTCTGACAGTAGCGATGGTAGACCGGATGGTCTGGACTAGTTCACTTGCACCCATTTGTATGATATTAGAATTAAAGCTTTTGGGAGAGTATGTCTCCCAGCACAACTTAAAAGCAACATGTCAGGCATCTTTTGTAGACCTCTGTAAAAAGTTGGGAACTCTATGACATGCCCGAAGTTTCATGAAGTAACTTGGCCATGCTGTGCTCGTTTTGCCAACTCGGCTCAGACTGAACCCGAGTTCTGTCATATGGCAACCCAAGCTTATCTCCGTAGGTCGGTCATTCTGATGACATGTCTGACATTGGTAGTATGCAAACTACCTGACATGGGACAACCGCTGATAAGGCTACAGATAGTTTGCCAGACAATTAGTCTGAAGCTCTGGTAGTGCACAGATAAGCAGGCGCGCCAAAACTACCACTGGGAGGCTCCCCGCTCCTAAGCATTTACATGGCCACATGGAGAAGTTGAACTTCGACACTTGCAGTCGAGTCTCTGACTCCTGCAATAGTTGAGTATGCTTTGTACTCACACTCCAAACATACCCAAGTATTAAGGCGATTCTGCTCCTCTTAAAGGTCAGTCAAAAGTCCCGCCGCTGCCCATTTATACAGCCGCCGAGCTTCACTGGGGCCCCGATGTAGTGAAAGACATCGTTAAGCCCCCTCACTTGACAATTGGGTACGTAAGGCACTAGCATACATTGGCTCGAATCCTGGAGATGAGCTGTGCAAGCAGGGATAGTTCCATCCGTCCATTCGAATTTTGGGGGAGTACTTACCAGATACTATGGTAATCGCATTCATGTGGAGACGCCTGAACTACTACGTTTCTTGATTGGCCACAGAGAAGGTTTAGATTGACCATTGCGGGGAGATAAGAAGTAATGATTCGTCAGGTTTTGGCACTCTGCAAGGGTCTTTGTTGCCCGTTTTTCCCATACGTGCTTAGAGAGAACCTTGGGATGGTGTCCATCTGAATAACAAAGGTAAAACGGCAAGCCTACAACTGCATTGGCATAACTGAGAAGGTTCCTACAAGCCAGTGGACTGCAGATCTCAACTGTCCCCTATTTAATCACGCTTTTGATACTTTTCAAGAAGCTTATTCTTGATCTCAGATCGTTGGATACAGATCAAGTCCCAACCTTCCAAGGTCTTGATTGCCTAATCTCCACTTGAACCAGCCAAGCGCGGCAGCGCCAAACTCCAAAGTGAGATGTCGGTCAGAGCGGGTAGGTTACTAGTAACCAACCCATCATGAAGCGTGTGCACTGATACCTACCTTAGTCAAATTTAGGTTGATAAATCAGAGAAAAGGAGAAGTCGCCAAACTACCTAAGTTCCAGCACTGTGGCTGAAGTCTCACTCACATGATTGAGGCTTGCTGTCTCTTTGGTCCGTCCATATGGACAGGATTTCTCCTCCAAGATGACCTGCTAACGGAGCAGCCAACCAATTGGATTTTTTCCGTCATTGTGCGTCGAGTTGAACTCAAAAGTCCTTTCCAGGCACTCGAAACAGAAGCATTCAGGGACTCCCGGAGTCTGACTAATTTCTTTACTCGATCCATTCTTCGAATACTGATCCAAAATCATATTTCGTCATGCCATATTCGGCGTAACGATTAAGGCGTTCTCATTGACTTGAATCGCTTGTGGTTCCTTCTTGTGCCACGCTTGCTTCTCCACTATCAGTACGATTATATCGGTCAAGATATGGGGTTCGACCTGACTGATCCGAGCTCATTGTCAGCGGTCTCTATCAATCTTGTATCTGGTGGTCGCGTTTTCTCGTACCTGTCCCTACAGTTTCTGGTAGCCTGACTCGATTTCTACCTTCTGGTACATCCACAGCGGTGGATTCAGGGGACAATGTCAGCTAGCTCCGACGTGATGCCCGCGGATGGTGGTCATCCGCAGCAAACGGCCCCGTCGCAGCAACTGAATCGTTCCTGTGAATCATGCAGAGGCCTCAAAGTTCGGTGTATCCCTGATCCAACCACAGCGAACCAGTGCCAGCGGTGCACAAAGACGGGAAGGGTTTGTATCTTTGTAGCACCCCAAAGGCGGCGGCCACGAAAGCGAACTGATTCCAGAGTTGCGCAACTGGAGAGGGAAATGCGGCAGATGCGTTCACTATTGAAGGACCGTTTCCATGCGGACGACAGCAGCGCAGACAGCGTGGATAGCGAGAACGAGGAATCGCCGGAACATGATTCGGGTATCGAATCCAAAGAACACCTATCTTCAATCCCCGAGGCATCCAGCAGTGTCTCAACATCAACCAGGCATACGGACCAGTCTCATGGTGTTCCACTCTCTTCATATCCCAACGTTGTCGAGAGCAGCTCGGTCTCCACCCCCTCCTTCACCCCCGGGTTCAGTGGATACTCCCCTGAAATGCCAATAGGAGATGACATTATCGATCGGGGTGTGATACCCTTGGAATACGCCAATGAACTGGTGGCGTTCTTCATTAGAGATTTAATGGCCTTCGCTCCCGTCATCGTGCTGCCTCCTGAGACTACCGCATCGCACCTGCGTCATTCTAAGCCCGTACTGTTTCTTTCTATCATTGCCGCTGCCGCTATTGCCGTGGATGCGAGTGTCGCGACCGTTCTTAATCGAGAGCTCGTTCGGCTCTATGCGGAACGATTCTTCATTCAGGGCGAGAAATCCTTAGAGCTAGTCCAGGCATTGGTGCTCATGACGGTCTTCTACTACCCGCCCGACTCGCCAATGAAATTGCAGCACTTTCAGTACACGCACATTGCAGCTACCATGGCTTTGGAAATTGGGTTGGCCTCTAAGCGTAGAGTATCCCCAAAAGCAAGCGGGAAGAAAGAGAAGCGGAATGTGTATGACGAGCAGATGGCAGAACAAGCGAGAGCGATATTGGAGTGTTATCATCTGGCTTCTACGTAAGGATCAAGAAGCGCCCTGCGGAGAGGCAAGCTGCTGATCATTTGAAACAGTGTCGCAATGAAGACTCGCCGACCTAATCTGCTCCTTTTCAACGATTGGATGAGTGAATGCGTGAAACACTTAGAAAAATCGCCAAATGTCATAGATCGACATATGGCCACCTGGTTCGAACTCCAAAGGATCGTTGATGAGGCTATGGCTTCCTTCGGACTCGATGACACGAGTTCCACCACGCCTTTGACAGAGTCTCGCGTTCAGGCTGTATTGCGGTGGTTTGACAATCGAATGCTGAATTGGAAGAAGAATACACCAGCGGACATGCTCACAGGTACGCTTTCCTCCCCGCAATGACTTGGAAGTAACTAGCTCACTCTTGTACCCTTCAGTGCCAATGAGCTTCGAGTACCATTACACCAATCTTGCCGTATATGAACTGGCAATCGGAGAAGGCTACCGAGATCCTGATGCGATCAAGCAGGAATATTACACGCTTCCGAGGCCGGAAGGTGACCGCCGAAATCAACGCGCCAGTACCACTCTCAGTGCCATCCGCGTAGATGTAACGATCAAGTGGATGCATACAGCTCACGAGATGCTCAATTTCTTCCTCGGTTGCGACAATGAACTCATGCGAAAGCTTCCGAACTTGATATACACACGTGTGGGCGTGGCGTTGATGTCTCTTATGAAGATATACTTCACTGTAATATCAGGCGGTTTGGGCGAATTTGTGACGCCGGAGTCCGTCAAAATCGAAATGTACCTGAACGCAATCGCAAGGAGACTCACCGAGGCGAGCGGCGGCCAGAAGTACAAGATTCCCAGCCGATGGTATTATGTTCTTGCCGTCAAAGCTCGAAACTGGTATGATCGGCTGCAGCAGCGGCAAGCCCAGCGAGAAAGTGGCTTTGCGTCCCAAATGGAGGCGGGCCAATCAGTTCAGATGCAAATGCCAGCCCATGCTCTTCAGCACCCCGGTCCGATCAACCCAAACTGTTCTACAGAGTCACTCGTCGTGGATGCAGGCATCCCGCAAGGTCCTCCGTATTCCAACATCGGTAGTGCCTATGGAGCTCCAGTGGCCATGAACCAAATGTGGCATGTCGACCAAAATTATGCGCCCACATCTCTCAGCTACCAGTATCCGGAATATCAGCCGCCCACTTTGCAATCTCAGTATGGGTACGTGGCACAGCATCCAAGCTTACCCTCGGAAAGCAACCATAATCAACCGCCATTACCTCGTAGAACTGGGATGGAATTGGATGGCTGGCTTCCAGATGGGAGTATATTTGGGGCACCCACTTTACCTGGATTTTGATGATTCGGTTGCATTCTCCCTGTTTCAACACTGTCATCAAGTGCATGTCAAGGTCAAGTCAAAGGACTTTCGGCCCTCGCCATCCTAATCGAGGCCTTACATACCCCATGTTAGTCCTCTCATTAAAAGACCACGACAGTCCATGAACTATGTTTATGACGGGATCCATCACTCCAACGACCATCATAGAGGGTAATCCAAACAATCGCTATTCAGTAAAGAAGAAGATAAAAGAAGACAAGAAGAACTAGGCAGACTAGATATTGAATAAGAAACCCTACACCGGCGTAACTTCGGTACGGAAATTTATTCCATCTCAGTCGACCCTCACGGAGCATCGGTGAACACGGAACCTCCGGTATGGAATTGTATCCGATTTGAGCATGTCGTAGAACGCCCACCCCTTGAAGAGATTAGCAAATCATTATCGAGACCCTTTCAAAACGTCGTGGAGCTGTCAGCTGTCATTGGGTCTTCTTGAGGATGAAGCGAAATTGGACCGTTCGGACTTTGGAGTTTGCGCCGACTGCCGACTTTTGGGTATAGCACCCCTCGCTTATTCCTAGTAAGCTGTGGGCGCGATTGAAGTTGTCAGAGCATTTAGATTGGCGGGCTAATATATCCATCTATCTCCCCAGGCTGACTCCGGCGTTATATTCGAATCCGATGTAAACGAGGTCCGTGCAGAAATGTATTAGAGGTTTAGTGGTTGTTGTCTTGTTGTCTACTGGTCTACCCTTCCCTCTTAGTGTCCGTATCAATTATTGCCAGCAGTGCGGATTAGCAACTATCCAGGAAGATGAATATTGCGGTCGAAGGCAAATGAACTGATCTGATTAGATATGCTCTGATCAATTGATCCATAATTACTGTATAAGTTGTATTCTTGCTATCTGATTTTCTCTTATGACGTGTAATGGCGTACACCCTCACACCCTTTCGCCTCTCTCTCTTAATGGTGCCAAAGGCATCAATCATGTAGTTTACAACTCTACATACCTTTCGACAGGCGCCAATGTAATTATCGTGCAAATACTCTAAATATATCACTAAGATCTCCATTATGTCTGATCTATCCCGTAAAGAACCCTCTACGAGTGAGTTCCTGCTCCTATATCCAAGAATAAACACTAAGCGGTGTCATCCCCAGAGGCTCTCCTAGAGAAAGCCGAGTACCAGTCTGGCAGCATCGGCGAGGGCCTCAATGACCCCGAACAGAACACGACTGGCGCGCAGTTTGACAAGAGCAAATATCCCTCAGAGCCGGTCTGGGATAAGGGTAGCACGACCAAAGTGACGGTTGCTGTTCCTCCTACGGGGAAGATGTGAGTTTGTCCATTCCTTGATGTTTCAACTTTGCTGGTGTGAGAGTGATTAGGGTATCTGGTTCAGCAGTTGCTGATTGATGCTGTATCAGGGTGGATAAAACGAGGGATCCTGCTGGGGTTAGGTGACTAGCTATTCTGGGTAGATGGATTGGTTGTCCGGTCTTCTTGTTCTCGATTGCTCAATTATTCCACTTTGTTCCATGTATGACCGAGTACTTGAAATTTGATCTTCATATTCTGGTAGTCGAATTTCGATGGATTACCTGCATTGGTCTGCAGCCATTGGTAGGGGTAGTTGGAGCCATCTCAGCAGTAGCTTCTACCAACTAGCGGCCATCTTAGAATAGTAATCATCACTTGCTCTTGTAGGCTGTGAAACCTATCTGCGGCCGCAGAATAATACTCCCAGAATGGAGAAAGCATGAGCCTGCAGTATCAGTTGAAGAACCGAACTGATATCTCATATTGTGAAGCGCATCGAGCAATAGACCTTTTTTCAGAGGAAAAATGATTGGAGATTAGTGTTTCCCGCCTGCAAAATGCTTCCTAAAGATGGTGTATCCGAGGAAGGAATTCTCCATCTCCTCTGTTTAAGCTCTTCAGTACGGAGTGGGAGTTATCTATGTAGCAACTTTACTGACCAATGGAGTCACCCGCAAGCGCTCCAATTGCCGCATTCGGATCACCCCATAACGGAACCACTCCCCCTGGTCGCAGTTGGTCTCTCAACACAATCCCGCAATCGTTCGTGTTAACAACAAACTGCAGGGAGAGGAGTAAGAGTGTGCGAGTTCGATTTCCTCCCTCCCCTGTTGCTGCTGCCTAATCAGCCATTTCTCGCTTTTATTTCAGTGCTTTTGTTATTCCTCCCGCCCCCTCAATCGTTTAGGTCTCGTGGCCTTGAGCGTCCCTTTTCACGCGACCTTTTCAACCTCCAATGATTGTCAGCACTGAATGCTCTTCTTGCGCGAATGGGTGATACTCCGTGGTTCGAGTTGGAATACACAGGAGGCTTCATCTTCGGGAACGAGTCTAGGAAACCGGCGAGACCGCTTTAGCACGAAACATCCATGAAGAATGACCTCACCCTCAAGCGCCGCTATTGACCATTCTGTTCGACAACCTGCTTCTCAAGCTTCGGGGGATACGCAGTCATCGGCTGCATCTACTCTTCCAAATAATGATCAGACGGACGAGGGAAGGAATGGGGAAGCGGGAGTGAAAACGCCAGAAGAAAAAAGGCCTGGAGGGAACCCAACCCTGGAAGATAACAAGGCGGATGCAGATGTGGCAGAGTTAGATGACTTCGGACTTCCGATCCCAGTCCGGCCCAAGGCTGCACGTCGGTCAGAAGACGAATCACCAGAGGATGACGAAACGATTCATGATATCGAAGAGACACAGTTACCACCGAAGTGTGAGACTACCTCCTCAGAGAAAGATAAACCCGCTGCCTCCCACGATCTTTCCCGTGAGAATGACAGGCAAAGCACACCCCCACCGGCCTACTCTAGCTTAGATATCCACGATTCTGTCCAACAGTCCTCTCCAACGCATAAGAGGCATTCGAGCCTCAAGCCGTCGGAATGGTCGCACCAGCGACTGAGCGAAAACAAAGAAGCCAATTTGGAAAGCGATGATGAAAGCGACGGCGAATGGAAAGAAATGCCCGCCCTGGGCGAATTCGATGTCTACGACGACTTTGGGCGATTGGTTGCTCGTGGCGCCAAAGAAGAGGGGGATGACGCAGTATATCAAGGCCTGGGTGGCGCTGGAAAGGGATATACTCGAGTACAACTCGACGAAGACGCGCAGTCGGCGACAAGTTTGGATCAGGACACAAGCTATCTCTTCAAGGAAGCCGCCGGCAACTCTGTGGGAGTAGAAGAAGAGCTACGGGACCCGCTCAGTCAACTACAAGCTACTAAAGATCTTCTGACTGAAAGTCAAAGGATTGCTTATGTGGGTGTGACGCGGCTGGAGATCTACCAGATGACCCAGGATTTGGAAAAGATACCAACAACTAAGGCTTCCCGAAAGGCGAAACAGAAAGCGGCCGACGCCATGAGGAAATGGGGTCAGACCGTCATGGGAAGGATCTATACTCATATGGAGATCGATCCTGCGGAGCAAATCATGATTGAACAATTGGCTGAGCACGGTGTTCAGCCTGCGGATCTTGTTCGACCACTGATGCAAAATTCTCGGGTCAGAAATCCAATGGCGGATGTGCTCGACTCTCCGAAGGCATCCATGTCCTCGAGTGCGTCTCCCGGGTTGAGGGGGAACAGCCGAGCGAGCTTATCGACCGAACCTGAGGGTACTTCCGAACCGACTTCCCCTCCACCTTACGAAACGCACGAAGATGACGACCTACCGGAAGTGCGAACCCCGTCACAGATGCCTACTTCAGCAAAGATTGACATTGACCTTCGTTGGACGGTCCTTTGCGACCTATTTCTCGTTCTTATCTCGGATTCGGCCTATGATGCCCGATCCCGATCCTTACTGGAAAGAGTCGGCAAGTCCATGGAAGTGTCCTGGCTGCAAATTGCCCGTTTTGAGAAGCGTGTCATTGACGCCCTCGAGATGCAGGAAGCTGCGGAGAAAGAGACCTGGGATGAGTCTGAGCACATGGAGAAGCGTCGCAAGATGGCGCTGAAACGGAAATATATGGTTATGGGCCTAGCCACTGTTGGGGGAGGATTGATCATCGGTCTCTCCGCTGGTCTGCTAGCTCCGGTCATCGGCGCTGGTCTTGCTGCAGGCTTCACAACCGTCGGAATTTCTGGGACCAGCGCTTTCTTAGGGGGAGCTGGTGGGACAGCCTTGATCGCTTCTGGTGCTACCTTGACAGGAAGTACTATCGGCTTAAGGGCTTCACACAGACGCACTGGAGCTGTGCAGACTTTTGAGTATCGTCCTCTCCACAACAACAAGAGGGTCAACTTGATTGTTGCAATTTCAGGCTGGATGACTGGCAAAGTCGATGACGTTCGGTTGCCGTTCAGTACAGTTGATCCTATTATGGGCGACATTTATTCGGTGCTATGGGAGCCGGAGATGCTTCAGAGTATGGGTGCCACCATCAACATTTTAGCCACAGAGGTAAGCGTCTCCTGACTTTGCTTGGCTTTTGCTGTCTTGGAGCTGACTGTATTACCTCTAGGCCTTGACTCAGGGTCTGCAACAGGTCTTAGGAAGCACTGTCCTCATGGCTTTAATGGCATCCCTGCAGCTACCTCTTGTTCTCACTAAGTTGTCATACTTGATCGATAATCCCTGGAATGTCTCCCTAGCTCGTGCAAACGCGGCAGGGCTAATTTTGGCGGACTCGTTGATGGATCGTAATCTGGGCAAGAGACCTGTCACTCTACTAGGTTTCTCGCTTGGTGCAAGAGTCATATTCTCGTGTCTGAAAGAGCTCGCAGACAAGGGCGCTAGCGGCTTGATTCAAAATGTTTACCTTTTCGGGTCTCCGCTCGTGGCAAACAAGGACGAATTCATCAAGGCACGCAGCGTTGTCTCCGGCCGGTTTGTGAACGGGTACTCTTCCAATGACTGGATTTTGGGATACCTCTTCCGGGCCACAAGCGGCGGTATTATGCGCGTGGCTGGTATTGCTCCGGTAGAAGGGATTCCTGGCCTGGAGAACTTCGATGTCACTAACTTAGTCAATGGCCACATGGACTATCGTGCCGCTATTCCACGGCTACTCAAGGAAGTTGGGTGGGAAGTTCTCAGCGAGGAGTTTGCTGAAATCGAAGACCCCGACCCGGAAAATCATGGCGAGCGGCAACGAGAGCTAATCCGCGAAATTGATGAGGCTCGTAAAGCCGCAGAAGCTCAACCAGAGAAGAAGCGGTTTGGACTGTTCAAGCGGGGCAAATTAGCTGAGAAAAAGGGATGGGAAACGTACGATGCGAAACGCAGTGACTCGTTTCCGCGAGAATCCACTGACAGCAACGGAACCGGAACCGTCCTCTTCGATATCGATGCGATCAGGGCAGAACTCGCCTCGGAGATGATTGAGGTCAAGCAGCTGGAGTCTACGCTCCCACCCATGAAGCTGGATCTCAATTCACCATCAACTCAATCGTCAGCTGCTGGTACGCCGTCAGAGTACAGAGCTTCCAAAGACGGACACGCCACCCCATCCGTTCCTCAGACACCAGTTGAAAATTCCCTGGGCCGATCGGCCTCTCAAAAGACGCAATCTCCACCACCCCATCAGGAGCAGCTCAATATGACTTTTGAGACCTCTTACGATAATCCTCCGCAACGTTCCCATTCTTCTTTTGAACCAGCTGCCTACGATTCATATCCGACGAGACCAGCTTTACGATCCTCTGTGACGATGCCGACTAGTGTCGGTGCCAGCGCGCTTGGCGTTATGGCTCTTGAGCCCAATGCCTGGGCTGATCATGAATTTAGCCATGGCGAAGAGGGTGAGATCTCGATGACCTTCGAGTGATTATCACTTGGTTTTACAGGCTTATATAATCCTCCTGCGAGTGTGTATAGAGCTTCCCTCGCTTGTTCCATGTTCATCAGCTCCTCTACGTAACGAGTGATGAAACAACGAGTGAATGTCGTGAGAGCATTCTATTCTGATTTTGCATTTGATGTCTCCTTATGCCTGATAATTACTCAGCCTTCTTCGTTTCAAAGACTCGATATAGATTTTGTTGAATGATATCGACTTCTATCGAAAACTGTCAAATACTCATGTATTACTTTCTGGAAGTTAGCGTATAGCACCGTGTGTTAGTTTACGATCTGTTACTTTTGTATATTTAGAATAAACATGTGATCGTCACTGTTTACACAGCATCATTAGGCTTGAACCCCGATCATTTCGGCAGCTTGCTCTTAGGTGGAAGTATACTGAATTGTGCTCATATCTTGGTTGCTTCTCAATCGCCAACAACGTATCAGGCCATGTGGAGAAAGCGCCCGCGATAAGACATCTCAGGCGTGTCACCACAGGGACGCGTTCCGCTCCCGTCCCCAAATTCAATACGACGGTCGGATTATCTGCCTTTCTCTCTCTCTATTGCTGCAGATTCTTCATCCCAAATACAAAGAGGCTGGAAGCTGAGCAATAATTTGACCCTTTCAAAGAAACCCTTTTTAATATTGGAGGAACTCGGCGGGGTTCATGCAGCGGGTGGCAGCATCGCGCTGGACGCAATAACCATCGCTGGAGAGGTGTATACCTGAGTCTCAACATTGACGTGGATACTCTTGCTGCTGTCGAAGCACAGGTGGCTTTACGAGTGGCTGTATTCGACTTCTAACTCCTACTGCGCAATTCCGACCTGATTTTTCAACATGGTTACTCCTACATCTAAACCAAACTCGAGCTTCTCGAAGGTATATTTGACCAAGAATAATTACTCGGGGCGGTCTCTTCACCCAAATGCCAAGCAGCCTGGAAGGAGAGCTGAGGATTCAAAGAAGGAAGGAGACGCTCAGGAGCTTGAGGGATCTGAGACGGATTGGGATGAGCGGATAGTGGACAACGAGGACTTAACTGCTGAACCCGCCAGTTCTCCCGTCCGTTCTCCCGTCAGTTCTCTTGACGACCAAGAGAATGAGGTTCCGCCCGGTTTTGAGGATTTTGACAGCGCAGTGGGGAAAAGGAGGAGGTCACAAAGAGGAAAGAAAGACTTGCACGGTTCTGAGTCTCCTACTTTCAGCCGCAAGAGGAATGCCGATAACATGGCCCACAGAGCTCAGACTGATGCAGAGAAGGAAGATTATGTATTTGGCTGGTCACAAAGTCAAAAGAAGCGCAAACAAGGGTACTCTGGAAGGAAAAGTGATGGCTCGTTGTGGAAGGTGCGAGGCTCTACGACCACTCCCTCTCGGCCAAAGTCATCACCTTCCTCAAGTGCTTCAGATCCAAAAGCAGGCCGCAGCTCACAGAGAACCAAAATGGAATCCAAAAAGAAAGCTGTTGACAAGGCTCCAAGCTTTATGGTCCCGCCAGATATCGACAACCTTCTACCTCCATCGTCTGGAACTTGCACGAAGCCCGAGTTTGTTGTCCCCGCTTCCCTTCCTAACGATACAATATCTAGCTCCTCTGGATTCGCATCTTCCGCTCAAATATCCCACTTCTTTGATTCTGATGACGACTGTTCAAGTGGCACGTCGCTCAGTTCAGTACCAGAAAATTTGCTGGAAGAATTCTCACAGATGGAGGATATCTTGCTCTCTGACATGGACGACTCAGAAAACGCGGAGTTGAAGCCCTCGTTGTGTCCCTGGTGCAAGAAGGCTGTAGATCCAGATGCTCTGAGGAAGTTTCGGACGCAACCGAAACAGCGGATTCGCGAGCAACAGCAATTCTGCGAGTCGCATCAAAAGGAGACGGCAGAGAAAGAATGGAAAGAGAGAGGTTATCCAGACATTGATTGGAATACTTTCGATGAGCGCATCAGGGGTCATTTCGACGATTTGGACAGTATCTTAGTACCAGAAGGCAATTCGTACTACAGAAATGTCCTTGATACTATGTTGAAATCGGGGAAGGCAAAGAACTTTCGCCTGACCCTCGCCGGAGACGCCCTCGAGACGATCTGTTGCGGTTATTACGGAACTCGAGGGGCCAACAAAATGTACAGTCTCCTAGTTTTCCTCCTCTTCTTCAAATGCCGTCCTGTTATTAACCGATTCTCTTGACAGGCTACAAGCTCTTACTGCGCGATTCTCCCGCAAACTCCGTCGTTTGGCAGCTGAGGACCACATCGTGAAGACAGCTGGACCTGTCATCTATGCTCAGGCAGTTCTCGTGCCTGAACTGGCCGTCAGGCTAGTCAAAGAAGATATGGGCGTGGATGTTGATTCAGCACGACAAATCCTACGAGAGAGCATTGAAATTGGCGAGAAGCTGAACTTCGCCCCGAACGATGTGGTCCCGATCCCGGAGGAGAATGCTGATGCTATCATCGCCTAAAGGCATAGTAACCAACGACATATCGATCTTCTCATTTATTTCGCATACTTATTAGCGACTGTATATAAAAATATTTTTCGACTTGATACCATTGTTGTTCTTGCTTGTTTGTGACGAATGGTATACCGAAGGGTATCAGTGTGCGAGAGGCCGGCTCATGTTGAGATGTATTCTTAGTGTGATTCTCAGCTGGAATGAACATACGATTGGCCCCTTTTGAGGGTTTGACGATGTTACATTGAGCCAAAGAAATGGTGTTACTTTGACGTCTCTTGTTATTATCTGTCCTTGTTTAGGGAGGTCGTTTTGTTTAGGAAGGTCGATAAGCTCTCCATATCCACTGATAAGAGTAGAGCAGCTTAGACCCACAATTACGTGTGGATAGCTCAAGCGGAGTGTACCCGGAGTACCCACTCATGACATGTAACTCCTCTCTTCCCCCTCATCTTGCGAGGATTGACTCATGCCTCTAGCAAACTGCATGCCATTTTCTTAAACTAACGGTACTGTATGTCGACACTTTCTGACTTCTACAGCTGCTGTATATGAACCTTTGAGCTCTCAATCACAAGATGAGGGAGAAAACCATGGCTCCCTCCGAGACTACTCCGCTGCTTCTTGTTAACGTCGCTCCACAGCGATATCGATACCCACATCATACCTTGCGACGGGTATGCAGCTTCTCCTTGAGCCTGATTCTTTTCGTTGGTTTGATTCTGTTTTTAATTCCGTTTGCCATCCTGCCCCGCGAGCACGGCTCTCTCTGGTCGTATCTCCCCGGTGCCAACCCGTTCCCATACGCGTCATGGCCCAACAGTCACGGCCTCACGTATGAGCAGCTGCAGGCTGTCCTTCAGAGCACTCCATCAGCCGCCAAGGCCCGTGAATGGAGCAGTTATTACACGGCAGGTCCGCACCTAGCAGGCAAAAACCTCAGCCAAGCTCTCTGGACCCGCGAGAAGTGGCAAGAGTTCGGCGTGGAGGACACGGAAATCGTCGCTTATGATATCTACCTTAACTATCCTATAGATCATCGTCTGGCTCTGCTGAAGAAGGACGGTGATAAAACCGAGGTCACTTTCGAAGCTTCTCTGGAAGAGGACGTCCTTGAAGAGGATCACACGAGCGGTCTTCCCGATCGCGTGCCTACTTTCCACGGTTATTCTGCCAGTGGGAACGTCACCGCTCCTTTCGTCTATGTCAATTTCGGGACGTATGATGATTATCAAGACCTCGTTGATGCCAATGTCAGTCTGGCGGGCAAAATTGCTATTGCAAAGTATGGTCGCATCTTTCGCGGGCTGACGGTGAAGCGGGCACAAGAGTTGGGTATGGTCGGTGTGATATTATACGATGATCCCCAGGAGGATGGAGATTTTACGGAGGACAATGGCTACAAACCGTACCCTGAGGGCCCTGCTCGGAACCCCAGCGCCGTGCAGAGAGGAAGTACGCAATTTTTGAGTATGACTTTCTTCTCCTTCGGCCCTCAAGCCTTAACTGATACTGACCATTCTGTGATAAGGCATCGCTCCCGGTGATCCCACGACTCCCGGTTACCCGTCCAAGCCCGGCTGCGAAAGACAAGATCCCCATAACTCAATCCCGTCTATTCCTTCCCTGCCCGTCTCCTATCAGGAAGTGGTCCCTTTCCTAAAAGCGCTGAATGGACACGGCCCTAAGGCATCTGATTTCAACAAATGGTGGCAAGGTGGGAAGCTTGGATCGAAGGGTGTAGAATATAACATTGGGCCTTCTCCAGATGACGTTGTCATCAACCTGTACAATGAGCAGGAGTATATCACGACTCCGCTATGGAATGTCATTGGTACCATCAAGGGGGCCATTCAGGATGAAGTTGTGATTCTGGGCAATCATCGTGACGCCTGGGTTGCTGGTGGAGCCGGGGATCCAAACAGCGGATCCGCTGTGCTCAACGAAGTCATTCGCAGTTTCGGTGAGGCTCTGAAGGCAGGATGGAAGCCACTGCGCACAATTGTCTTTGCTAGCTGGGATGGTGAAGAGTATGGATTGCTTGGATCTACTGAATGGGTTGAGGATATGCTTCCGTGGTTGTCGAAGACTTCGGTTGCTTACCTTAATGTTGATGTCGCCGCGGCCGGGACCAACTTCCAACCCAAGGCGAGTCCGCTTCTCAACAATGTGATCTACGAGGTGACCGGATTGGTCCAGTCGCCCAACCAGACAGTGCAAGGCCAGACAGTGAGGGATATCTGGGATGGCCTAATCCATACCATGGGAAGTGGTAGCGACTTTACTGCGTTCCAGGATTTTGCAGGCATCCCCAGTTACGATCTGGGTTTCAACCGTGGTCCCAAGGACCCTGTATATCATTATCACTCCAACTACGATAGTTTCGACTGGATGGATCGATTTGGTGACTCTGATTGGCTGTACCACGAAGCATGCACTAAGATTTGGGCCCTGGCTGCGGCTAAACTGCTGGAGACTCCTGTGCTTGCCTTTAACGCTACGGACTATGCTATGGGCCTCAGCACATACTTGGATAAGATTCGGCCTGCGGCGGAGCGACTGCCTGGTCATTTATCGTTCGACTTTGGGCCTCTGGACAAAGCGATTGCGCGGCTTCAGAAAGTGGCTGCGAAATTTGACGCCGAAGCCGCAGAACTGACCTCGCAGTTGGACGAGAATCTTCCGTGGTGGCTCTGGTGGAAGAAGGTGAGACTGTACTTCTTGATCCGCGGGGTCAATGACAAGTACAAGATCATTGAGCGCAAGTTCCTGTATCAGCCTGGCTTGGACGGGAGAAATTGGTACAAGCACGTCGTGTTCGCGCCTGGCATCTGGACTGGATACTCTGGCGCGACATATCCTGGGCTGGTGGAAAGTCTGGAGGCGGGAGATTTGGAAAATGCAGAGGTTAGTCGTCTCGCTTTTTGCACGATCTGGTTCGTTCGTGTTTCGTTTCTGCTAACGCTATGATGTACAGAAATGGCGCGATATTATCCGTGAGCGAATCGAAGATGCCACGGACCTATTGCAATAATTTCTGAAATCCTGGTTGCTATACTCCGTATAGAGAGGACGCTTTTCTTTTCTTTTTTTTTTTTTTTTTTCACATTTACAGGCAGGTCGAGTGATTTGAAAAGCTGTGCACAAGTTCTGTTCCTGGTCGAGTCAAGTTCCGCTGGGGTTCTCAGCCTTGAACAAAGCTATCTGCTATCAGCCAATGATTCAACTATGTGGCACGAAGTATATGAATCGTTAATTATCTATAAATGCTTGGCCATGTCATATCCTAGACTTATTTTGAAAATACCTCCTGGAATTCATTATGCCATTTTTTTGTCCAAAGCCTACGTTATACGCAACATCAGCACAGACCGAAAAAGATTCTGCATGTCCACGGTGACCGTGGAAATCCACAGCAGGACATGAAGTTGCCGCCGATCAACAGTAGAATAATTGAGTCATGATCAAGGAGCAACTGACCTGGTGCATGCATTTGAAGGCGCAGTCCCTTAAGCGGTCAAACTCCGAGTCGCCGACGGGTTTATCATTATCATTGTGCTGCCAGTTCTTCGTTATCAACCGCGACTAGTGTACTCCATACTCCGTATGCTGTGGGGATCCAATGCATCCATCCATCAGCGGTCCATCGGCCTAGGCCGACTAGCAGTCTGTCCTTCAAAAAGAAACATTGCATCTCATTTGACTCCGATTTTTGTAGAATCCGCATTTCCCCACTCTGATGCTGACAAAAAGTAAAAAAGTGAGGCCTTTGACAATAATGGATCCGAACTAGTGACTCAAAACAGTGCAGTAATGCACAGACTCGACTCTTGTTTTCCTCCCTCTCCAGTTCTGTCTTTTTTAAATTCTCTTCTCTCTCGTGCTTGACTGGTCCAGTGTCTATTATTGATAGACCCCGGGGTACTTCTTTTCCATGACTTTGACGCAAGACTCGCCCTCCCTCGGTTACTTGCCCCTTATCGATCTGAAGAATAGCCGATTGGCCAGCTTACTAGGCTGTTGACCAGGTTTCTATCACAGCTTCCAGATGCACGAGAAATCTCCCAGACTGCCAGTGCGGCAGCTGCTGATTTTATGTAAGTAATGTCAAACTAGAGATAAGTATGCTATCTTCAAACTGACTCCTTGAACCAGCAATATGTAGATTTGCCGAGCCAGGTACGTCCAAGCTCACTCAGGAGGGCAACATTGGGGTACAAATTTCTCAATAAATAGACCGATTTCGGATTTCGACTTATACTGAACTCTTTCCCCTTGCTAAACAGTTGTTTTCACTTCCGCCTTACCATATCTCGTATGCAAACTGCCCGTCGGAAGAGTTGCCATAACCCAGCTAACCACCGTTCACCTCCAGCCCGAAATGATTGAGGACATTGGCGTCCCCAAAAACGAAGTCGCGAAATGGGTCGGGATCGCCTCGGCCGCGTCAGCCAGCTGCCAGGCCGCCATGGCCGTGACCTGGGGAACCGTCTCGGACACTGTCGGTCGCAAGCCCGTCATCCTGTGCGGCTTGACCTTCACCATGATCTTCTCGCTTATGTTCGGCCTGTCAAAGACTCTGGCGACGCTGCTCGCTTCCCGTGCGCTGCTGGGTCTCATGAACGGGAACGTCGGGATCATTCGGACCATGGTCGCGGAGATGGTCCCGGAGAGGGAGTTGCAGCCGCGTGCATTCAGCGTTATGCCGCTGGTTTGGACAATTGGGAGTATTTTTGGGCCGGCCTTTGGGGGTGCGCTGGCGCGCCCCGCGGAGAAGCATCCGGCGATTTTCGGGAATTGGCAGCTTTTCAAGGCCTATCCTTTTTTGTTGCCCAATCTGGCATCGGCTTTTCTGTTCGTTATCGGGATTACGACGGGGTGGCTCTTTTTGCATGTAAGTGCGATTCGGATATAGGAGATTGGTGAGTGTGCGTGCTAATGGCAGACAGGAAACACTGGCAGCCAAGAAGCATCACCGCGATGTCGGGTTGCGGCTGGGTCAGATGTTGGCAGGCTCCTGTAGCTCTCGCAGAAAGGAGTTGTCCTATTCCGAGACGCGGGAGGATGACGAAACAACTGCGCTGCTGGGACAGCATCGGTCCACAAAGAGCACAGCTACCAAACGACCGAGTTGGAAGGAGGTCTTTTCTCCGCAGTCTACACTGCTTCTTCTCGCCTATGCCATGATGGCGATGCATAACATGGCGTTTGACTCCCTACTTCCGGTTTTCCTGCATACGCCGATCCAGAGACTGGACGGAAATCCAGAGGTGCGGTTGCCGTTCAAATTTATCGGCGGGTTCGGCGTCGGTACGTATCTGTCTCTCTCTCTTTCTCAAGCCGCTGTCTTGACACTTCCTGCATAGACTCCCAAACGATAGGCATATACTACACCTTGATCGGTATTATCGGCATGCTCATTCAGTTCTTCATCTTCCCGGCAGCAGCCAAGCGATTTGGGGTCCTCAACTGCATCAAAGTCATTGCCGTCGCCTTCCCTGTCGTCTACTTCTTGACACCTTTCACTGCACTCGTACCAGCATCGATCCGGAGTTTTGTTGTCTTCGTGCTCATGCTCAGCAAGCTGACATGCACCATCTTCAGCTTTCCTTGCTGTACCATCCTCCTGACTAACTCTGCAGCCAGCCTCAATGTGTTGGGGACCCTGAATGGGGTCGGCACAAGTGTCAGTGCGGTTGGAAGAGCGGCTGGGCCTGCACTTGTCGGTGCGGCGTTTTCCTATGGAGTTAATCAGGGCTACGTCATCCTCCCTTGGTGGCTTCTGGCCGTCTTTGCTGCCTTGAGTGCGGTGCCTGTCTTTTGGGTAGAGGAGACAGATGGCTTTCAAGGCAGCCAAGAGTCGGAATCGGACGCTGCGGAGGATTGAATTTGAGACTTCTCAACGCGGCCGGAGTCGCTGCGCCTTCGTCATCTTGGACTCCCACGCCTATCAAGGGCACAAAAAGGCTCAATCTGAATAGTGAAAGCCAATGACATACCATCGAATCCGTTCCAAGCACAGCATTGGACCGACTTTCAAATCTACATCCCACCATCCACCCGGCGTTCACTTCCAATTCCGATATCACATTTCATGGCTTGTTATGATTTACGCTTCTTAATGCTTTATGGGCAACGATTGAATGCATATATATGATTTATGTCATCTATCAAAATAGGACTAGAAATATGAGTCTCTTTACACCATCTATCTCCCAATGGTGGCCTGACCCTAGCCTAGAAGCTCGATCCTATTAGTAATACAGCCAGCCGCTCGGCATGATCCACATCCGTACGCCGTAGTATAGTACTCCGTTCTCCACCAATGACACCACCAATTCAGATGTCACTGTCCAGCTAAGGCTCCTAAGCTCTTCTCCATCTGTCAGCAACCTGCGTATCTCGGCCTCGAACGTCGGCCTTAACCTCCTCTGGGACTCATCTATCTAAATCCTACACTCGAATCAGTCCACCTCAATCCCAACCGTCAACATGGTAGGCACACCCTTTTGTCAACAGTCCTAAGCAGCTAGCTGATAGCAAACAGTCGCAATCCTCCCTCCCGAGTCCCACGAACTCCGCCGCCGCGCTGTCCCTCCTCACGTCCTTGGGCGGAATCATCGGCTATGCCCGTACGGGCTCCATCCCCTCCATCGCGGCGGGTCTCTCAGTTGGTGCGCTGTATCTGTACAGTTTCCTGCGTCTGCGCGACGGACAGCCCTACGGCGAGGAGATCGGGTTGCTGGCGTCGGCGGTGTTGGGGGGTAGTTCCGTGCCCCGGGTTATCAAGACGAGGGGGAAGCCCGTGCCTCTTGCGTTGAGTGTTCTGGCGACGTATGGGCTTGTGGTTTTCGGGTTGGCGTTTCGGGAGAAGAGAGCTTCAAGGGTTTGAGTTGAGGAATTTGAGTTCGGTCTGCACAGTGGACCTTATGCTACGGGACTCTTACTTTACAAATGGCGGAGCGGAACAATCGATTTGAGAGAGTTTTAATTGATACGGGATGTCACTTTCTAGGTCCAAAGCATCGTTGATTCGTTGCCTACCTTTATGCTAGAGAACTTACAGCAGCATTCATTTGACAACCCAGGGGTCTCCCGTCTCCAAATCAACTCACGTGGCAAGAACACGAAACTTGTCAAGTTCGGACGAACAACTTCCCATGGTAGCCAGTGATATCAGCCTTGCTCGGTGAAGGTTGACAACCAAACTCACCAGCACTCTATCGATGCTCTTCAGTCGTTCATTGTATCTCGTTGCTGTTTCCTCAGAAGGCCCACCCGCATCATGATGGCGACGAGGATGGATGAGTATTGTAGCAGCCCCTGTTCAGTTTCAAGCATAGTTTCTTCTTTCTTGCACTTGATGTTGCCATGGTACTGAGATATTAGGGGAGTAGAAGGCATAACAAGAGGATGGAAATAGTCAAGATGAAGCTAGAACTTGATATGCATCGAACTTAGCTGAAATCTGTGATTCGTACCTCTGTTCAGATGTCTGACCGGAAATCTTGAACTGATTCTGAACGGAAATGGTGTGTGCGTGTGTCAATTCCGAAGGGTATGTTCGTTTCGCAAATAGTCAGTCGGCTCACAGTCGCCGCACCAATCATCATGCTTTTCACTGCGCAGAATCGAAAATCTTGTCTGATTCCCGGATAGTCCCCACTACTACAGCAGCAGGGAGCTCTTCAAGCGTCGTTTCTCCTCGACGGTCAGGAACAAATGCGTACCTTGACAATCTAGCCATCTTTTCCTCCGGACTGGTTTCATTATCAGAGTATACCAAGCGTGTCGGTTTGGACTTGTCCTTCTTCGACGGCTTCTCTTCAGTGGTTGCACCTGCACCAGCTGCAGCTTTGGCCGCGGCCTGGTCAGCTTCCTTCGCTGCCCCAGAGACAAGATCATTGACCGAAGATGATATCGATGCAGCCTCCGCCCCCGGTGCTCTTCCGCCATCTGGAACAGCAGTATGCAAACCAGCGTTCGGAAGGGGGTGACCCATGTGTATTTGTTGCATTTGATACGCATTAACTGGCGGGGGTTGGAAAGCGGGCCGCTGTGGGAGGCTAGGCGCGGCCGGTAAGCTACCAGAACGTTGTGGGAATGCCGGAGCCGTTTGAGGTGCTGTGTGTAACGGGGAAGCTTGTTGGTGCGGTGGTATCGCAAAAGGAGGTGGCGTTGTCCCATAGGGCGGGGTAGATTGCGCAGCAGTACCAACCGGATATGGCTGTGGAGTGAATCCAGTAGGTGTATGCTGCATGGGGTACTGTGCTTGTGCGCCTGGTGAGAAATTTGGATACACGGGGCTCGCCGCCTGCGGGAATGGAGAGCCGGTCCCTGCATAGGGTGGAGGATATGTAAATTGTGGAGTCGCGGCGGCTGCAGTCTGAGGAGAGTGAGGCTACAAGATCGCAACAAGTTAGCGTCAGAATGCTGCCTCGAATCAAGACAAGGAAACTCACATATCCACCCGGACCCTGTGTCTGCCCGGCACCCACAGGAGTCGCCTCTCCGCTGCTTCCTCCGGCAGCAATCTCCGCTCGTTTAGCCTTGTGTTCAGCTAAACGCTTCTTCAAGTCGGACACGTCTCCAAGCTTGGGTCTCTTTGCTGGTTGGCCGCCAGACCCCGTTCCTGAAGGTGGATTCCCCGTCACGGCCTGCCGCTCCGCCTCTGCTTGCTGAAATTGAGCGATCACACGCTGGTTGTGAGACTGGACAACATCATCGGGAACACCTTCCATGCCAAAGATTTCGACATCAAGACCCGAGCGATTGGGGAGCGCATTGTCGACGGCCGAAAGCTGTTCCTTGTGCACTTGGCTCATATGCACAGACAAGCCTGATTGCACCCGGTGAGCGAAAAATTATCATGAAAGTGCTATATGTGCTGTATTCACTCACCTCCAGCAGTGTTGAGTCTCCGGCCACATCTCTCGCATTTAAAATGCTTCGCCTTCTGATGTGATATAAGGATTTTGAGATCGTCGAAATCACGCTCACAGTAATAACACCACGGCCGAGCCAGAAGCTCTTCGAGTGTTGGGCCACGTCTCTTTTTACCCATTGTAAAAGATATATGCCAAAGCCTCAAGTTCAATGAAAGCGGATTCGATATTGTTTGGAATTATTTGTGGAGTGAAAGTGTGGAGGAAGAGTCCGATAGCGTCAACGCGTTGACTTAGGCTGAGATTCCACTGATCTGAAGTTGGAATCATCGAGTCACGTGGAGTAGCGGGTCTGGAATGTTGTGTTGTCACATGACTTTACTTTGCACAGCAGCCAGGTGACAAACGATGCATGTCTAGGAATGGATAAAGAATATAACACAAGTTCCAGTCAGTAGCTGTCTAGATATGGATTTATCACCATTGCTCCATACGAATCTCACGTACAATTTTGTATGTAGTGACTTTAACCACGAGAATATGGAACAAGGAAGTTCATAACTTGGGACATTAACGGGAAAGATAACTAATGCAAAACAATGTACATTGCCCCCATCAAAGTCGAAATCAGAATGCAGGTGGTTCCCAATACATTATTTGTACAGAGCCTCTCGACCAGCATGGCCAGTAGTACAAGAACAGGCGGATAAATAGCATGTACATGGCTCAATCAAATCCCCGGCACCTTCGCTCAAAAATAACATGCCAAACATACAATGTGTTTCCGAGAGAAAATGCTGAACAATGACAGGTGCAGTCCACTGATCTGAGGTTCGCCGTAAGAGTTGTAGATAATACAGAGAAAAAAGGGTGCCGAACTGCAGATGTAGATGTTTTGCACAAACTTGTCTGTGTTGAAGAAAGTTGTGTATACGGAGGCATAGACAGCACCAAGCCCCTTCAACCCAACCACCCATCGTCTCTTTCCAAATTTGCTTAATTCACCCAGAAGGATCGAAGGTAAATCCATCATATAGCGAAGAGGAAGGGGTGGATTGGCTATCCGGGCCGCGGGATGAAACGCGAAGTAAAAGCAGGAGGACGGACAAGACCATTTCTGCTCATGCGGGTCGCGCGTGGCCTGGTGGCGGCATTCCAGCCGGCGACGCCCCGTATGGGCTGTAGTAACCTGGGTACGGGGTGCGGTAAGGCACCGGCGCAGGAGGCTGCTGAAAAGGTCCCGGAGGACCTGGGGGAAAAGATGCGACGCCTCGAGGATCTATGGGCGCATATGGAGAAGCCATCGACCGGACTGTAGGCATCGGCGCTAGTCCGGGGGGACCAGTGGGCAGAGGGAGCGACACAGGCTGCACAGCTGGTGCGGGGGCAATGGGCCCGTCGACTTGCGAGCTCACAGGGCCTGGAGTGCGGGACTTGGCTTTCTTGATCACGGGATTCTGGACCTCCGCCGCCTTCCTAGCGGCCTCTGCCGCGCGATCCGCCGCAACCTGGGACTTGGATCGTTTGGGTTTGCGGATTCGGCCCTCCCGGTTGAACCGGGCCCAGTGGTTAAGCATGGCCTCCGTGCGCCGGGGGTTCTTGGCATTAGCGATCTTTTCTCGCCGAGCCAGCTCAGCTGGGTCCATGGATTCATTGGCTTCCGCGCTTCTCGCTGGAGTGATTGCAGGAGAGACAGCCGCTTGGGCTCCGTTACGCGCCGGCTCGATTGGCGCCAGTTGCGATAATGTCCCAGAGGAGGTGGAAGGAGGCCGGGCCTGCAACGGTACAGGATGTGGCACTGAGGCCACGACTTTGGTCTCCCGGCCTCGTCCTCGAGCTGGAGCTGCGTTCGCCGCTAGCTGTGGCGTTTCCGAAACGGCCCGAGACGGACCGCGGGCGGCACCTCGCCCACGGCCTCGGCCTCGTCCGCGACCGACACCCCGGGTAGCAGCAGTTGTAGGAGCAGGAGAAGTGGGGGCAGAGGGAACGGGTGTATTGTCTTGTGTTTGCTCCACCTCGAGCGCCGTACGGCGTTGGCGGGTGCGCCGCTTCGCTGGTGGCATAGAGTCTTCTTGATCCTCAGCAGGCACAGGCGTCCCGAAGAAAGCGTCATCCGTCTCGATTTCTTGGCTAGCTGCTTCCAATTCCGCTGCTTTACGTCGGCGCGTGTTCTTTGCGACGGTTGACTGGGCTGGTGGTTTCGGTAACATTGGCACGTACGGGATGCCAAATTTGTGGATTATCGGCCATCCATCAGGGTTGGGGTCGCCCTTGGCTCTAATTTTGGCGGTCTGGGCGGCAGTCGGCATGAAGCCACCCTGATCGAAGGGGTCCTGGATGCCGCCCGGAGCTTTGGGGTCATACTTATAACCGTACAGCATTGCTTCCCTTTGACTCTCGAAAACAGGGGGTTCCTCTAACTTCCTCGGGTCCGCACTGGCTTTGCCTTGCTGTCGAGTTGCAAGTCTATAGAGCTTGTCGATGGCTAGATATTCATCTTGCCATGTCTTCAAAGTGAGATGTACATTCTCAGTGATCGCATAGAGCTCGTCGATAGAGCGATACTCTGGATCACGGAGCTGGGATAGGATGTTCTCAAGAGGTGTCATTTCGAGAAATTCTCCTTTCGCGACTTTTGTCTTTTTGTAAGGATCGAAGCGCTCAGGTAAGTCAGACGCGTCGCGCTTCATGCCACGCTTGGGATTACGAAATACCGTATCCCAGGTGTATTCGATGTCGTCAACTCTGTCCTCAAAGTCCTCCGAGAATCTGGAGACATCGTTGATATTCCAAAGTTTATAAACACGCTGCTCAATGATGGAAGTCTGTCCACGAGAGAAGCCATCGAGTCGAATGGGAGTAGAGAGACCAGATATCACTTCGTCGAGCTCGCCGTCAGGGCCGGTGTCATATGTTCGGACTACTTCTGTCTCTTCAGCTTCACCTGTGTCTTCAGCCTCGACATCGTCAACTCCAGATGCTGCAGCATCTTCAGTGAGCTCGCGATCGGTGTAAAGCTGCCCATTTGGGGTATGTTCCTTTGCGGCACTGAGAGAGTATCTCTTGGCAGTTTGCGGGTGTGCGGCAGCAATGTGCTCTTTGAGGGTGAAAGATTCATCGTTTGGTGACTTAGAGGTATTGAAATATTGCCCACAGAGGTAGCATTTGGACTTATGAGTCAAAGAAGAAGGCGATTGGGATGTTTGAGTTGAAGTTGAGTGAGCAGAGAGTGGCTCGGAGAATTGTCGGCGAAGAGACGAGGCCTGGCTGGCCATGTCCGAAGTATGGTTCATCTCAATGTCGCTCTGGGCGACAGGAGCCATACCTGTGCGGTGAAGAATACTCCAGAAGGATGAACGAATCTGAAGTAGATAGATAAGGGAATTTGATGCAAATTGAGAAACAGAGAATTGAATTCTTTTCCCAAATTTGGTATCTAAACATTCAATGTCAGTCAAATGCAACTCCGAAAAGGAAAAAGTTCGCTTGGGAAATGCCAAGACGCCAACAGTACTTCGGGACTGCTGTGCGATCCAGGGAGCCGCCACAGTATGAAGGTGAGAAGAGGAGACAGATGCAGATATGTTATGAGAAGCAGAATAAATAACTTGAGAGTCGATCTGGAAATTGATGATTTGAAATTTTAAAGGACTGCTGAAATGAGAGGACGGGGCATTGCAGGCTCTGACGGATGAATCAAGAGTGGTTCTGGAACACACGACAGCCACATACATACCTTGAGAACGCAGAAACAGTCTGTCAGAACAATTCGGATTAATAGTGATTATTCGGATAAATTATTCGAGCATAGACTCAGCAGGGCAAGGAGTCTCAACAGCGATGGACTGCTTTGACGAAAGGGCTGTCTTGTCGCGAGTGTCTGACAGGGATAATAGGTAGGAAGTACGTAGATAGTTCAGCAACAGTAGAGGCCAAAGTAAGCGCAGAAGTCAGTCTGCAAGGCACGCTTAATCTGGAGAAATAATCAAATGGAAATGATAAAGTGCAGATTCGAAGATATTAAATATTGAGAAAGCAGATCGTGGTGTTTTTTTCATGAAGCTGCTCATGGAAGTTGGCATTCAGTGTGGTAGTAGGAGATTTTACTATGGTGTTCAATGTAAAGAAAAGGAGAAAGGAGAAGGGATGGGAAAAAGGGTAGAGGAAAAGAGAATCTAGCAGCACTGGACACCATACATCAGTCAATGAATGAGTCCAAAAGTACTCGGAAACTTGGGGAGGATATGTAGCAGATGACGGGCATGTAGTAGTGAATGAATGAAGAGTCTGTGAAAAAGGTGTTGTTATCTCCAAGTAAAGAAGGTAGGTATCTTGGCTGTGTACCTGCTTTACCATACAGAAGGCCCACTTTATCCGCAAAAGTGTGTCTCTGGGCCAATCCGGAAGTGAACGGCCGGGCGCTTGGGTAGACCAGATAGCCAATAATTAGCATTTAAGCTGGTGTACGTTCAGTAGTCGATTTTGGTATTACCTTACCATACATTGGTACCGTACCATGGTAGATTCCCAAAGTAGAGGTACCTGCCTGGGTAGTAGACCCTATGTACCACTCTGCCTGTGTTGAATGCAAATTACGCTCTGATAAAATTAAGATCATGATAATTTGGGTGGGTAATGCAGATTCTGTATTCGTATTTGATCTCGGTTTGATATTCAGACTATTGACGTTGTCTCAATATCCTTTCATGTAGCCTTTCATCATTGGGTCGCTTCTACCTAAAGGCATAGAGTCGGTATTTTTATCCGTACTGAGCTGTAATGCATGTTGCTTGACATCATTCGCCTCTGGCCTTGATTATACCGTTTCTAGACGAGAAACATCCTAGAGAAGATAGCATAGAGGCTAAGGGACTATTTCCATGTTGGGAGGATAAGCGGGGATCTACGTCGATAAGTTCCCAGGTCAGTCTGTTGTTATAATAAATATTCTGTGTGATGATTACATTGCACTCGTCATTAACCTACATTGTTCTATTCGAAGTCTAAAAACTATGGAGAGGATGGGTTATGGTTGAAATTCTCACATTGTTTGATGAGATGGATCATCTAGCGTTAATTCCGGACAAACATAGCGCGATCACTCTACGACACCTACTCTTAGCCTATTGCTCTGAGATCTTGTACTAAGCAGCAAGTCATAAGTGGCATAACCATTCTTGATAGAGAGCTCGGTATGAGTCTCAGGGGCCTGAGGCTGTATAGGATTCGTGACAGGCGCGGGAAGATGATGCATAGTTACTCTATTCAGCTGACAAACTGCGTGTTATCTCCAGATTAATAAGTCCTCGCCTGACTTTTCAGACATTAAGGAGTTGTTGGAATCCAGAAAACATGATCAAATGCTCAGTAGTGTCGTATACTGCACGTGCAGGGGAATGGCGATGCCTTTTGGGAGCACTTTGAATGGATGGAAAAAGCATATTTGACACTTAAGGATTCTTCTCCCCCACATTCAGGGCAACAAGAAAGCGGCTGACACAGTTGTACGCAGCCGATGTTGTCGTTATCTCGACGATTTCCCTCTCATTGAAAAATGCCTTCAGCTCCTGGAACACTTCCTCGGGAACAGTGACAGTCTTTGTCATGGCATCCGTGTACTTCAGAACGGCTCCTTCAGCCGGACTCAGGATCTTCTCTTGAATTTTCAGCGAAATATCTGCATGGATATCGCGAACAACACGCATTCCCTCGTCACTAAGTCCACCTTCTTCCAACAAAGGTGCGTGGTGTTCCCATTCAAACCAGGCTCCATTCAGAACAGCCACACGGCAGATGATAAGTTCCTTGATTATCGTGGACAAGGTAGTTTTTGTTCGGATTGCCCCGATGAATGAATTCCATCCATCTGCCACAGGATACGAGTGCAGAAGTGCGCGATCAAGTGGTAAGAGGGCCCCAGGGGCACGTCTGGCTCTGACACGAGCGAGGATCTCCGCCTCTTCCGGAGTGCTAGTAGGGGGAGGGTCAGAGACGTATGGAAGACGCATGGTGAGATTGTCGACTTCAAGAACGTGGCCAGATTCCAATAGGCACAGCTCGCGCAGCAAATGACTTCAATCCGCTTTCGAAGGTCTATGGGGTACTCAGTGAGTCATCTTTCAACGATTCTGATGCGGTAGACCTACCTCAGGGATGAAATAGAATGCTATGAACGCAATTGGTTCTGCGCAACCTCGAACTCCAAGGCCTGAGCCCTTTTTTTGATATATACGCTCTATATTTAAGGGCTTTCGCGCAGTCTGAATATGGGGAGTCACGCTATTTATGTATCGGATGACCCCACAGATCAGTCCTTTGGAACGGGCCCCGCCGCGGGGAAAGATGCGATTGTATCACTGCTCGTGGTAAGTACCCTTGGGCCAAGCCGCGGATTGTCGAAGAGCAATCAACATGTCATTAGGTGGTCCTCCGTGTATGCTCAACTCTATAGTCTCTAGCTGCCACACCGGATATACTATTTTGATCACTTCAGGCAGGATGATTCGTCGGGAATCCTCCCGTGTCGCCGCAAGGATGCTGATTGTTTTCTCATGGCGCGAGCTGTGACTCGAAACCTGGACAACGAGCTCACCATTTCTGAAGCTTTCTTTTGTAAGACTTTCGAGTCAGATTTATCTGCTCGCCGGATTTTCCACACTCACGAGTCCCATTCCCGTCGGTGCTGGCTGGCTTTCGCAGGACATTGCGGAGTGGATCCGCGATCTTCCGTACGGCGTAGAGGCTCAACAGCCAAAATTTATTGACCTAGTATAACAAAGGGTGAAGAGGATGCCTATAGGTGGCATGAGACAAGCTGCTGAAAGTGTGACCAATCCAAAAGTTCATTTGAGACGCGAGGCCTAGCTGAAGTATATATTTAACGACTATCTGGATCCTAACATACGTTCAGTAAATAGTATCGCTCAGAACGTAAATTTCGGTCGTCTAATGAATCTCAGACAGTTGCTCATCATCGCTCGACCATTGTTACTGTAGTCTCAAATCAACAGGTTGCAGTTGACAACTGAAAGAGGCATCCAAATTTCATAGTTCGTAGATCAAATTGCTCTAGACAACACGCTAACGCTCCTTGGCGCAGGTCATCAAGTTCCCCACCGCCCAAACATTAATGCCCCCCATAAGCTCCGGCCACCCTTCTCCTGAAAACTATCTCGGCATTCTTACGTTCCAGATACACGCACACCATAAGGACAATGCCTCCAAAAGGCGCGAAACCTACGAGCGATGAGCTCCTCGCCCAATTCGACGACCTCGGCATCGACTCGACGACGGAGAAGCAGCCATCGAAGCCGACAGCTGCATCCACTACCGCGCAGTCGGAACAAGATATCCTGGCCGAGCTGGACAATCTAGCTTCGCAGCGCCCAAGCAGTGGGCCTGGCACTCCACGGCTTTCAACGAACGAGCCTAGACCGGCCACCAAATCACCCAAGCCAGCAGCAGTAGCTACACCTCGATCTAGCGAAGACAAACCGGCTTCTCGTAAGTCCGGGGAGAGTGTTCGGTCAGCCCGTGCTGGAAACAAGCCAACAAATACACAACCGTCAGAGCCCGAGAAGCTAAAGGTGCAGGAGGCTCCTGCCAGCGGAGGTGGAGGATGGTGGGGAGGTATTTTTGCAACAGCCACTGCTGCTATGAAGCAAGCTGAGGCTGCAGTCAAAGAGATTCAGCAAAATGAGGAGGCCCAGAAATGGGCGCAGCAAGTGCGAGGGAATGTTGGAGCTCTCAGAGATCTAGGTTTGTGGACAGTATTAGTTTCCTTCGTTTGATTCGTGCTAATCATACTTTCTAGGTGGCGAGCTCAAGAACAAGGCCCTGCCTACATTCACATCTCTGCTTCACACCATTGCGCCTCCAATTTCCTCTCATGAACGGCTTCAAATACATGTCACCCACGATATCTCGGGATACCCCGCTATCGACCCTATCGTTTACTCCGTTTTTTCGCGTGTAATGACACAGGTCGAAGGTGGAGACCTCCTCGTCATCCAACGCGGTCAAGAATCCGCCCCGAAACGCGGACTTGACCTTGGAACCTCATTCTCCACTGCAGGCTGGCAAGATGGCCCGTGGTGGCGCACTGTCACACCTGGAACTCCTCGCAGTATCTCGGCCGTCCGAGGCATCGTGGAGGCCACCAAGCTTGCTCGGGCGAGCGCAGAATCATATGCCACCGAGTATTTTGCCTCGAGGGGCGGAGTTGAAGAAGCTGCAAAACAAGCAACTCAAGACTTGAGCGAATCCAACCCAGTTCGGAGCAGCGACATTTTCCTAGCTATCCAAGCCATCAGTCAGACTTCATCAACGGAGCTTTTCCAGGCCGGCCCGACCACGGAGATGGCGACCCCTCCTGGAGTGGTTGACGTTCCCGAGGCGACAGAAGAGGAGGTCGCATTCGCCCTTTACCTCCATGACCCCATCCATGGCATTGCCTTCCATACTATCTCCCAGACAATACCCCAAAAGTGGATCGATTGGCTGGATACCGAGGCCCCGGCTGTCGCAGACCTCAACGTGGAGGACGCCAAGGTACCGCGCACGACCATCCCGGAAGATATTGCTGAGATTGTTGTCAGCGGGGCTGTCGATCCCCGCGAATGGGTGGCGGAATGGCTTGAAGAGTCTTTGGCATTAGCCATAGGAGTCGTTGCACAGCGTTACGTGGCTCGGAGAATGGGCGTTGGTGAGGGGGGTCCCGGTAAGGGCAAGATGCGAGCTGAACACGCGTCTGTCGTAGAGAGTGGGGCAGGAGAAGCTGCAAGAGCGCTCTAGTTGAGTGTCGGCTGTTTCAATTCATACTATTAATATGCCGCTTCACAGTTCCTGCGTGATTTAATATGTTCATACCATTCATTATCCGCTATACCTCGCTATACCAAGTCCTCGCAATTTAACCCGTGCTTGATGATTCATGAGCAGAGCTGCTTTGCAGCACGTTTCCCCGCGCTTGGATCGGGGACATATTCTCCTAGCATAAGTATCTCTTCAAAACTTCAGTCTATGAACCTGAAGCTCTATATGTTGTCTGCCAGTCACAAACCCATATTTACCCCGGTGAGCCGGCGATAACAATCATCATACCTCGAGATATCCATGCTTTGAGTTCGAGGATCGAGAGCTCACAGCCCACCCAATTTGTCATGTTGCCTTAGAAAAACTATCCACGGGAAGACGATTGTTTATACCGGAACGCATACTCGCCAAACTAGGGTTCATAGCATAGCATATCGATCTCCGAAACGTACCATTATCCAGCGGTCCATACAAGCCACTGTATCCTGAACCCTCTCAATCGCGTAACCAAGCACTCCAAGCAGTTTGATACGCCATACGAGTTGTGCTAGGTGCAACGGCAAAGGCATTTCAAAGCTCGCGTTCGGCAGAAGGAAAAATCGAGGACTTTAGCAGTATAAGGGCAGCGAGTTAGGATCGTTCAACCCCCTCCAAATGGTATTCCATTGAGGGTTACTCATGAAATCCGGTGCTTAAAACAAAAAGGAAGATATTGACGCAGTCCATTTGGTGCTTGGGCGTCGATGTGAAAGGTGTCTGTTGCTTTCGGTGCACTTATGCAGTCCGTTGAGAGTCTTGTAACGGGCAATAATGTAAGCTACCCTATACAGTCGAACCAGTACAGCGTTCAATCTAGCAGCTATTATGTAGCTTAAGGTCTGTATCCCATAGAGGGAGAGGTTTTAGGAAGGAATGGCATCACGTCTTGAGTGCCTGAGGCAGGATATTTGGGATCGATGAGTGCTCTATTTCTTGAGTGTTATTTTCGTCTCTTTTTCTTTTAATACCCTACTTTTCGAGGGACCGGCGTTGTCTGATCCAGTGAATAAGTGAATACTACCCGGTCCTTGAAGAGGATTTCGGAAGAGAATGGAAAAGAAGAGGCAGGAACCTGTCGTGTTTTAACCACACTCATACCTCTGACGTGGGTACGACGAGTCAATATAGGGCTGGAATCTTCCACTTCGACCAGCCACCACTTCGATAGAAACACATTGCTGCCATAGAGTTTGTAGAGTGACTCGCTATCCCACCGTGAATCGGAATAGAATCAGACAGTATCGTTGCTGGATAGGGGATGACTCTTCGACTGGGACAGTTATCATTGAATATATAGACCTTCCTGAAAGGTCGAGACTGCCAGACGCAAAAAAATTAACATAAAATCAATTAGAAGTATTCATTTTCTGAAAGTATTCACTATGAACCACACATTACAGCTGTTCTGAGCCACTGAGCCAGAGAAGCAGGGATTTCTGCCTGAAGCGAACCAGGTTTTCCAGTACATATGCATCATAGTGAATGAATTCAGTGAATATCTTCCAGACTGTAAGCGAGCCAGCCACTGCATCTCGCACTATTTATAAACCCTCCTCCCCTTCTCTCTCCCTCTCTTCTTCTTCTTTTCTTCCCCACCAGGCGCAAGTCTAATACAAGTCCACCTCTGCTGACTTGTCCTAGTTGCGATCATCGGCCTTTTCTTCTTGAATGTGTTGCTATGAAGACTCGTTGTTTCTCAACAGTCCCTGCAGAATGTCAGCTGTAAACTGCAGCCGCTGGAGACGTCCACTGGTGGGACAAAGTCATACGGCACTGCTCGAAGAAAAGGGGAAGTTCTTCTCTCGAGAATGTGTTGCTATGAAGGCCTGTGCTATCCCAGCAGTCAGCATGACCCAGCTGTACCTGCAGCCATTTAAACGGAGACGTCCAATGGTGGGATACAGCCATACGGCACTGCTCGAGGAGAAAATCTGGGTACAGGTAAGCATCTTCTCCCACTCATGTCTTCGTTCCCATTCTTCTTTTCTCGCCTTGCTAACATCAACAGTCACTCGGGCAAGCCGACTAAGACATTCCCATTCCCGATGTTTCGGCTTCTTTGACATTCCAGTAAGTTCTTCTTTGTGTCTTCAAGTTGCTCTTGTGATGACACTACTCGCTGACTTGTTCGCTCATCTCCAGGACAGAGTGTGGT